TCAGAGTCTCTATCCTGCACGTTAATGATGCCCACCTCTGTACCAGGTGGGGTATCTTCTGGTATGGGATTTGTCAGTGACTTAATGAACGTAAGAGGGGCATTGTCATTCACATCTGTGATATCAATTATCAAGGTAGAGGATGACACTAATCCAAGACCATCTTTTGCTGTAATTTGCAGTTCATAGACTGACATTTCCTCATAATCTATCGATCCACTTACTTTCACTTCACCAGTTGTCTGATCAATAGAAAACACGTTATTACTTTCATCAGAAATATGATCAAATTCATAAGTCACCTCTCCATTGACTCCCTCGTCTGCATCTGTAGCGCTCACTGTGACCACTACAGTGTCTAAAGGAGAGTTTTCAGGCAGACTGGCTTTATACACGGCCTGGCTGAACACTGGCGCGTTATCATTAGCATCCAGCACAGTGACGTGAATAACTGCAGTACCTGATCTCTGAGGTGTGCCTCCGTCTGTTGCCACAAGCACAATCGTTAGCTCCTGCTGTTGTTCTCTATCCAGCTCCTTCTCTAAATCTAACTCGCTGTATTTCCCTCCTCCGCTTTTTGCAATAACATTCAATCTGAAGTATTCATTTGCCTCGATACTATAGCCTTGGATGGCGTTTTGTCCGACATCTGCATCGTGGGCCTCATCTAGACGGTAGCGACTTCCTTTAGAGGCCGATTCACTGATCTCAAATTTAATTGTACTCTTTTTAAACTGCGGTGAATTATCGTTGATATCCTGAACGTGAACACTAATGCGGTGCAGCTCCAATGGATTCTCTAAAACAAGTTCCTGTTTTACAACGCAGGATGGCTTTTTGCCACAAAGTCCCTCTCTGTCAATCCTGTCGGCAACAATGATATCTCCGGTACTCAGATTAATGTCACAATACCGTTTGCTGTTCCCGTCTGCATCAATGCGAGCCTTTCGAGCACTCAGTTTGCCCACCTCAAGTCCAATATCTTTGGCTATATTTCCAACAACTGAGCCGCGTTTCATCTCCTCTGGAAAAGAATAAGACACATCTCCATAGACGGTTTGCAGCGCCAGAAGAAATACTCCCAGAGATACGACCAGGCCGAGCACGGAAAATGCTTTGTGTCCCATTTTTCTGCAAGACCAGCGGCAAATCCACCACAAACAAGCCTTGTAAAATAAAAACAACCAGTCAAACGGAATCCTCCTCGGACATCAAGTCCAGTCCGATTATAAATGGTGCGACTTCACTGCTTTCACCAACAATCTATCGTGAAATACAAATGTGCAAGCGAGGATGGTAACATAATGTAACACTATTAAATAAAGCTGGTAGACAGCGACACTGTGAGCAAAAAGTAGGCATTACAAAAGATGTGAATAACTGAGTGCTCTGATAAGAAAGATAATAATAGTAAAGTCCGGGCTGCAGTGCCATCCAAACATAAATCAATGACCGATACAAACATGAAGAGGGGAGGTTTCTGTTTTAAATTCCATTATGTATTTACCTCCATAAAACTGCTATCATCGAACCGCAGTTATGAGAGGGGAATTTATGAGGGTTGGCATGGTTTCAGCACCATGGATAGATACCATAATGTAAGGTAACGCACGTGACCAGAGCACATATTATCAATAGTCTCTAAAGACGTACCAAACAGCAAATTAAAATAATACAAATGAATCTGTGTTTTTTTTTCTATATATGATACAATAATTCATGAGGTAAAAACCAACAGTATTCCACATGTTCTTGAACAGAAATGGTGAGCTACATTTACGGATAATATTACCAATAGGGAGCCGAGGAATATGACAGATCCATGAGCAACCACACTGGTTTGCATAACCTTATGTAATTAATACCGTTTCTTTAACCAAATCCTTGTCACTGTAGGCCAGGGGTAATGGTATAATGCAGTCATTACACGAAACACTGATCTCTGGAAAAAGTTATCAACGCTGACCATACTTCTTTTAGATACATTCTGCATACCAGTTCCTATACCAGAGGGACAGGCAAACGAAACTATTCTGATAGACCGATTTACATTCATGGACATGGATGGATTACTGAATGGGTCTACCAGGCAAAGACCCAGGGGCCCAAACTCCATCTGCAAAATGTCACTCTAAGAGACATGTCCCGACCAGGAGGAGACTTAAAATGACCTCAAATATACATTAAACAACTATAAAGAGACACAAGATATGTAAAACAGCTGAAAAGGGACACACAGTGACTCAAAATGACTACAAAAAGGGGAAAAGCAACCACTAAGAGACACAAAACCACAGAGAGATGTGTAACCTGTACAATTATATGTAAAACAACAAAAAGAGGTTATACAACTGCAAAGTCTGTGTGTCTTGCTCCTGTGTAGGAGAGGTGGTGGGGCCTTCTGCATGCCTGTGCCCAGGAGCCCACCATCTCATAATATGTAAAAGAAGAGCATTAGTTGATAATAGGAAGCAGTTAACATTGATATATGATAGTCAGAAGTCACTTAAGCATGTCAATAACACACGGTAGATATCACAAATGTGTTTGAAAGTATTTGAATAAAAAATATCCTATGCTTTGGAATGTGTTATCACTTAATGAAGGTCAGAGGCAAAAGGAAAACCCACTGTAATGCTTAATGTAAGAGTACATTTAGGTGTAACACAAAAAATGCAGGGAGAGTAAGGAGAGTAAGAGCATGGAGGCCTGCAGTAACTTTTAAATTCCACTGTATATGCCAAAGACCAAAAAAGTTGTTGAAAATCTTGGACAGAGAGTTAACTAAATGCATAAATGTGTTAGAGCGTCTGAAATTAGCTGAATATTTGAGGCAAAATAGGTCAAATGACACCTGACACCGGTTCCTACCTCAGGAGAGGCATCTCAATCTCCAAAGGCATCAGCAAAGTCTGATGGACTTTTCCTCAGAGTCTGGTCAGCAGGCAGTGTGTTGTCATTGTAAGATGACACGAACTTAAAGTCACTGGTTCTTGAACCTGTTGTCAGGTAGGCGTCATAATTGTAAGTGCTGCGTAAAGTTCCTGTGCCGTCAACATCTGCGTAATTAGGAGGGAGATAAGCGCTGGGGATGGCAACTGCTCCATCAAACAACAGTCTGGGCTTTCTCCTGCGACAAAACCTCACACCCAGGATGATGATGATGAAGGTCAGGAAAAACGTCGACACAGACACCAGCGCGATGATCAGATAAGACGTCAGTTTGGAATTCTTCTCATCATAAGAAATGTCCTTCAGTTCTGGCACCTCAGCCAAGTTATCAGAAATCAGTAAATACATGGAACAGGTGGCAGACAGAGAGGGCTGTCCGTTATCTTTCACTGACACAATCAGGTTCTGTTTCATGCTGTCAGACTCGGAAATGTCCCGCTGTGTCCTGATCTCTCCGCTGTGGACACCAATAGTGAAAAGCCCCGGATCAGTGGATTTCACTATATCATAGGACAGCCAGGCGTTCTGTCCGGAGTCCGCGTCCACCGCTATCACTTTGGACACCAGAGAGCCTCCGTGTGCAGCTTTGGGGACCAGCTCGGTCATGAAGGAGTTGCCCTCTGGCCCGGGGTACAGTATCTGAGGAGAGTTGTCATTCACATCCGATATGAACACACTGACGGTCACGTTGCTGCTCAGCGGAGGAGAACCGTTGTCTCTGCCCATCACGTGGACTTTAAAACTCCTGAACTGTTCATAATCAAACGACCTCACAGCGTGGATCACCCCCGTGTCTCCGTTAACAGACACATAGGACGACACCGGGGCACCGTTCACCTCACCGGGTAACAGAGAATAAATCACTGTACCGTTTTGTCTCCAGTCGGGGTCTCGAGCACTAACGGAACATAAAGTGGAGCCAGGTTTGTTATTTTCACTCACATATGCGCTGTACGACTGTTCCTCAAACACAGGTGGGTTGTCGTTGATGTCTGCTACAGATAACTCAACATTTTTAGAGGAGGACAGAGGTGGAGAGCCCTCGTCAGTGGCAGTGATTGTAATGTTGTAATCAGACACTACTTCACGGTCCAGTTGTCCTGTGGTCACCAGAGAATAATAGTTTTTGATAGAAGGAACCAACTTAAAAGGGACGTTTTGCTGAATGGAGCAGCGGACCTGTCTGTTATTCTCAGAGTCTCTATCCTGCACGTTAATGATGCCCACCTCTGTACCAGGTGACACATTCTCAGGTATGGGGTTTGCTAATGAATCAATGTGTATAACTGGGGCATTATCATTCACGTCAGTTATATCTATTACTACCTTTGTCTCTGAGGACAGACCATAGCCATCTTTTCCCTCAATTAGCATTTCAAATTTTGTTTCTTCTTCGAAGTCAACATTTTTTGCGACTGTAATTTCTCCAGTATATTCATTTAATGAAAACATTTGTTTTGCGATATCACTTATTCCACTGAATTCATATATTACTTTACCATTCACGCCTTCATCTGCATCAGTGGCACTTACT